AACACAAAATTCATAGTTTAATACAATAAATTCACAGTTTAATATACAAAATTATATATTCACAACCAAATTCTCAACTTAAAACTCATATTTATAAGTTCATATATGGAGGAATTTTTGTGTATTAAATTGTAAATTTATTGTATTAAGATGTGAATAAAATTTACAACTTAATACACAAAATTCATAGTTTAATACAATACATTCACAACTCAATGATAAGTATAATATCATATTTCAGTGTATAAATAGCTCATTCACAATTTAATACATACATAAATTATCACATATTTCGGAGGCAAACATAAGAACAAAATATATGCATGAATCATAAAAGATGATAACTTATATGAAATTAGCGAAGAAGATGAAGATGAGTGAGAAATAAAGCATATCCTTACTTTACCACCACCACTAGCATCAACACCGCCAACTACCATACACTGCCATCAACTATCTCGACCATCAACCATCGGTGCCAACACCGCCAACATCCTTCCCTCAAAAATCATATTTTAATAAAAAAAAATTAGAATTCACAATTTAATTCATCATTGCAGACATTAATTCACAACTTAATTTAATATTTCAACGTTTAATTTACACGAAATTCCTAGTTTAAAATTTACATATTTTATTCAAAATTAGAAAAAATCATATATCTTTATAATGTTTCTTTCATCTCATACTACATTCATAAAAAAAACCACAGCTTAATACAATTAATTTATAGCTTAATACAATCAATTCACAACTTAATACAGTCAATTCACAGTTTAATACACAATATTTACAACTTAATATAATAAATGTATAGTTTAATATACAAAATTCACAAGTTAGTTAATATCTTAATACAGTCGATTCACAACTTAATACAATCAATTCACAATTAAATACATAAATTTCACAACTTAGTATAATAAATTTACAATTTAATACATAAAAATTATAAATTCGCAATCATATTTTTAGCTTAATAGACTTGTTCATAACTAATTCACAACTTAAAACATATAAAATTCATGAATTCACTCTTTAAAACCTATATTTTCTTATTAATAACAGTTAAAACTAACATTAACAAAATTAAAAAATAGTCAAAACATCATAATTCACAGCTTGATGGATACGCTCATCAAACAACTTGTGATACTCGTATTCACATTTTAATGTATATGCTTGAAGTTTATTACAACCATTCATGCATTATTTATAGTTTAAGAAAATATATGTATAACACAAAAAATTATATATTTATATATTTTTTAAAGTTTAATAAAAAAATATATCCAAAAAAAGAATAACATGTTAAAACTTATGTATTTCATTGAACAAATCATCAAACACATTGTGTGCATCCTATTGTATGAATCATGCAACAGAAAAAAATATATATCTTAACAATATATTGTTACAGATACGATCATAAACACATAAATTTGAAGAAAGGACAACCAATTCATAAAAATCAAACACGTCCACACAACTCCATGGAAAAAAAGTTATCATTTTGCTAAAGCCATATCATGATATAAAAAACTATTGGTACAACAAAATCATAATTATGTGTTCAAATATGCATTAAAAACAAACACTTCAAGCACAAAAGCAAATATGAAGTTATGTTACCTCGATTTAAGTGAAACTCCACTGGATTTATAGAATGCTTTGTCATAAATGACATAATTTCGTATCAAGATAATGTGAGAGGATGAGAGCATGTTCATCGAAGAAGACATGAGATAAGCATTGATCTGAGCATATGGTGTCACAGATGAAAGTCCCTTCTTGGTTGGAGATGAACAAGGTTGCTGGATATAGTCGGAAACTAAACAGATTTGGAGAAAACGGATGCAAATATGGAGGAACAGGAAGCAGATCTAGAGGAACTGAAAGCAAATTTAGAGGTAGGCGGTAAATCCTCACCGGAAAAAAGTGGTCATCAATGTTACATCACCAAAGAAAACACATAATGACATGTTTTATGGTGTTTTGGCGAGGCTAGAGGTCGTAGATGAACACAAATATGAAGGTGTGGAGGAAGACATATGTGGTGATACTTGTGTTCGACGGTGAGAGTGTTAGTTAGCATCGATTGTTAAAATTCCGGTGTTTGCTTGGCGTCGTTTGTGAAATCAGTTCACAGTAGGAACAATACAGGAGTGGCTTGAAATCCGTTAACTTGGGCGTTGGTAGAAGCGGCGGTAACAGGAAAAGGCGATGGTAGATCAAGCCTCGCCGGTAAGAAGAAAAAGAGGTGCTGGAGTAGATCTGGTGTGGTGATCTGTTGCAGATCTAGACCTGAAATATGTTAAACACATCAGCTCTGATGTAGATGTGGTGTTGTTTCACCAAAAATCGAAGAGAATGAGATGGTGAACATCTACGACGGTGATAGAGGTATACGGTGGCGGCAGTCTATGGCGGCATTGACGGTAGGTAGCGGTAGTGGTGGTAGTTGGTGATGATAGTAAGAGGGTTTGTGTTTGAGCTCTTGAAGGTGGGTGCGAGAGTTTGAATGTAAGAAAAAAAGATCAAATCTTGTTTTTTAGTCTCACGTTAGGAATGTGATGTTTAAATTATCAAAATGACCATCATGCCCTTACTGATTTTAGCCATTTATTAAACCTTAAAATAAATCAAATATTTTAAATTGACAAAAAATACACTTAATATAAGTTAAAATAGAGTGGTTCTTAGAGTTATTAATCTTTTTATATATATATATATATATATATATATATATATATATATATATATATATATATATATATATATATATATATATATATATATATAATGCTTAATATAACACCTATATAACATTCATAAAGAAGTAATAACCATGAAACTAGCGTGCGGCTAAAGAGTGTTTATTTTGGAGAGATTAATGTCCATCTAGTTTGTTAAAATATGTTTATTTTAAAGGAAACAATACAATAAAGAATAAATTACTAAAATGGTATTTATAGTTTGTAAAATTTTCCTGTTTCGTCTATTTTTTTCTTTTGCATTCAAATAGTCCTTAATGTTTGATTTCGTTGCGTTTATTTTGTCCTTAAACATAAAAAGACTATAATCCCTTTCATATTTTCTTTTTCAGTTTTTTATTATTTTGTTATTATTTATTAATTAAAGAAAATATATTAAAATACATAGGTCCCACAATCACTAACGCCTCTCAATGTCAATCGTCGCCTACCACCATTTGAAAACTACAAACTACCAGCCACTGACCACCGCGATCGCCAACCACCACCCAATCTACCGTCTACCTCCTGCAACAACCATTACAATTGAACACAACTATTAGCCATTGATCGCCACAACCACTACGGTCGTCAACCAACACCATTTTCGACGAACACCACCCATTATTGTCGAGCACACCTGTAGGTTGTAGGTTTTGGGCATACCTGCAAATCCCGTCTATATCTTCAGTTTCGACTACACGTTCTCTCTTCGGTACCACCAAAAAAATAGATGCATGCCCTTTCTTTCGTTAACAAAACCCACAAGACAAACCATACATTGGAGCTACTATATGCACCAAATGAAAGAACAATTAGAACCAGAAAATAACACAAATCTGGAGAAGCAGACAATGAAGTTTCTGACGGAAGGAGATAACAAGGTTTCTGGTGACTCTTTAAGCTCCGTTTTTTAACAAGTGTATATGGAGTTCAAGTTTTTTGAACAAGCAGATATGGAATCGGAGTTTTGAACAAGCAGATCTCTGAGCTTCGATTTTTGGATTCGAGTTGCATCTGAGTCTTAAGCTCGTGATGGATTATCTGAAGACAAAAGCTTTCCGACGGACTAGAGGCGGAAAAGATGGGGTAGATCTTCCCCACAGACCGTGGGTTGTTTCTTGAGTAGGTGGCGCTAAAAAGATTGAAAGGAAGGAGAAATAGAAGGAAACGGTGGGGAAAGAGAGGTAGAAGAAGGTGGTGGGGAGGTGGATGTAAGTGACGACGGTGTAACAGAGTCGACGTAAGTGGTGGTTCTTAATGAAACTCCGCTGGCATAGAAAGATGGACATGGCGGTAGAGAAACAATAAAGAGTATGAACCTATGATTATATGTGTTGTGGTGGGTGAGGGTTTAGGGGTCGGCACATCTTGTTTATTTAAATATAAATAATAAATTAAAAGGAAAAAATAATATATAAAATACATTATAGTCTTTTTATGTTTAAAATGAACCAAAAATGAAACAAAATCAAAAGTAAGGACGATCTTAATGCAAAAGAAAAGATAGGGGCCAAAAATGAAATTTTTGCAAACCTCAAGGACCATTTCAATAAATTGTTCTACAATAAATTATCTGGAAAATTATGCAACAATCCTACTAAGTATTTCCACTACTAGAAAAACAACCTTTTACGATGCTCATTGCGCGTCGTAAAACGCTCAGACGACGTGCAAAATTGCATCAAGGAAGACCCTATCATAAAGAGAGACGACACGCTTTTGCGCGTCGTCTATAGACGACGCATTTGCGGCACGCATTTACGATGCACAATTATGACACGCAATGCGTATCAAGGAAGGCCCTGTCATAAAGGAAGACAACACGCATTTGTGTGTCGTCACCTTACGACGCGCGTGTTTATGACACGCAATGCGTATCAAGGAAGCCCTTGTCATAAATGAAGATGACATGTATTTGCGTGTCATAAACTTCAGTAACCATTTACGATATGCATTTACGATGCGTCTTTACGATACTCATTTACGCATAATACAAAATTTTGTAAACAAATATATACTAAAACAATCAATGTCATCCAATAACATCATGTCAAAAAATTGTAATGCATTGATACTAATGGGATCTAATTGTACATTGTTACTAAGAGGTTTTCCCTAACTATATAACCTAATACTATATTGCGTATCAAGGGACACCTTCTACAAAGTAATGCTACACAAAGATGATAAACATCAAATTCCAACTAAGTAGAGTTGCATCTTGCCTTTCATAATTCTTTAAGACTAATGAACCCCTGCTCCGATAATTCTTGTGACCTAATCAAATAAAAGTCTAAAAATTAATATGCTAATATAATAAATAGAAGAATCAACTAAAACTGGAAATGTACACAAGGCTGCAACTTTCAACTATGGAGCTTCCATGACCAATTGTATTTAACGTTTTTAATCACAGAAACTTACCTCTAGTTGTACATTTCCACCACCTCCCATTCCCTCCAATTCAACTAGCACCTCATGTGAATTTCCTGGTAAACATGGTTCTATGCTTTAGAGACATTATGGTGGAGACTGTTTTCTATAGTTTATAAGATAGCATCTGGACATTAATACATTAATAAATTGCAACTATCCTTCAAACGTTATAGTATAACACAAGGGTATTGGAATAATATCCTATGATAACTTCATAATGCTGAGTTTTTTGTTTTAAATTTGTTTGAGGTGAAAAGAAGCTAAAGACTTAAAGCATCCAAAATAAAAAGAAGAAAGCTCACCATAACATATGGACTCCAAGCTAACAATTCCATTGCCTATACGTTTATGGGGAGTAACAAGATTAGCATCCCAAGCTGCAACTTGAAGTTAAATTGGTACATAACATAAATTTTGAGGATCCAAAATGAGTTATGCATGGTTTCATGACACAACAAAATCTCTAATGCAAGTATTAGCAAAACTAACAAAGATGATACCATCTTAAACTTGAAATACCAAAATGCCTACTCAATCCGATGTTTAGTGCTATAATAAGAAAGAAGATTAAAGGTTGTTTAGTGGTAACTAGGAATAAGACATAAAGTGGATACTAAAATTATCCACTTAAAATGCATTGATAACCTGAAGATCGATGGTTGGCGGATGCTTGATGGATAACGTGAGATCTTCATTCCAAGTTGGTTCCTTTGTCCTGACAAAAAAAACATTTAAAGCAAAGACTAATTCACTACTTAAGTTATATGTATGTAGTATACTTTGACAAGTTAAGACTAGAAAGTACATTTATTTGTCTTCCATCACAGAAAACACAAGCCAGATACAAGAAGAATGAGACCACATTGAATATACTCACCCCCATTTAACATTGCTTTTCAAAATTTGACTATCCAATTGCAAAACCACATAAGGATCACTTGTTCCCTGAAAGCAGAAACTGGGCAACACATGAGAACACTTAAAACATAGATTTTCTAATCCCTAAAAGGTGACCAAATGGTGCTGCATATATAGATGTAAATGTATAAACATTTCATCTAAAGGAAAGATATGCAGAAGAGAGGTTACCCATGGATCCATGGTAGGAAAATCATAACCCTTCTTAAGCTTTATAAACACCTGGCGTCCTGGCCATCATAATTCTCACGAAGAAATGACCTGCTGATCATAAACCTATAAAATAATAAAATAGTGTACAAGAATCCTCTTTTTAATCATGATGTAATTAAAATAATACATTTATATAAAAGAAAAATTACACACCTCCATATTCAGAATCTTAATATAAATCTCTCGCTAAAAGGAAACATGTCATTGACATTCCACGAGAGAGCTTCAAAACAAAAAACAAATAAAAAAATCAAGTTACTCGGGATATTATAAAAATTAGGGTTAAAATGCAAGAAATGGCAACATACTTTTCTTTATTTTTGTACTACATAATTCTACTTTCATTACTTTGAATCTATTTTGACTGCATCTTCAAGAGATACAACATCCACCTGCTTATGGCTGCATGGAAAAGAGGCAAAACAATTAAAAATAAATATAATAGCAGAAAAACGGATCCATTAGAAGCAAGCCCGAAATAGTACTAGTTTACATTTAATTTCACCTACATATGTATTTTATTGCATTAAAGAACGATTAACAAGAGCTTTGATATTAACAACTGTACTTACCATGACTCTGTTTCGTTACAGCTCTAGGGTGATAATGTACCTTTCCTGGTTTAATGAACGATTAACAAGAGCTTTGATATTAACACGTGGAATGAATTTCATCAGCTTCAGCCACCCTGCAAACACAAACATGTCAATGATTTTCGATTAGGGTAATTAAGCATATATATTTTCTACACACACTAAAATGGACCAAAACAATTAAGGATAACCTTAAGGTTCCATTTTAAATAGGGAACTTTTACTGTTACTGTTACCTCCCCTAAGAGGCTAAGACCACCATACACATACAAATGACGTTGCATGCCTACAGCAACTCATGAGCTCCAAAGACTCATCTTCCATTTGCCCATTGTTGTTGCTCTGTGAAGAAGTCACCAATCTATTTCTATCCAACCAAACTCCAACAGTAGTGTCCAATGCTGTAAAATGTACAGTTTTACCCTTTTACCTTTTTCCTAGAAGTGAAAAAACTCTCTCTCTCTCTCTCTCTCTCTCTCTCTCTCTATATATATATATATATATATATATATATATATATATATATATATATATATATATATATATATATATATATATTACAAAGTTAAAACTAACATTAACCTGAAAGGGCTGCTTTACATGCAATCGAGCACCAACAAATACCTGATCACAATAAGCAAATAAGTTAATACCATGTAGGATTAACACAAAAGGACATTCGGGACAATTTATATTTTTCTACACACATACACACACGTACACTTGAAGCTAGCTATTACTTACTGCAACATATTGGTACCTTGATGATGGTGAAACCCCAAGTGCAAGTGGCCACCACTGCAGTAGGTGCGAAAAACACACATAATTTATATATAACCTGAGATAATGCCATGGAAGTAGGAGGTCTGAAATATAACCTGAGATCAGCTAATTATATATACTTTTTAATTATGTAACAAGCCAACAAATAATTGCTATATCTTTTAATATTATTATAATTATAAATAATTTCTACACAATATTTGAGTAAAGCATGCTATATTTTTCTATTATTTGTTAGCTAGTATGCAAGGGTTGATTAATTTTTACAGGTACAAATTAAATACCATGTTCATGGCTATGTCCATTTTACTCCAGGAGGGTATTCCTGTAATTTTGTGTAACGACATTAAAAGTGGACACTTTACTTAATTTAAAAAACATTTAACAGAAGCCCACAAACCTGGCATGACAATGTTGGAGGCAATTTTAAAGAATGAGATTGCATTGACTCATTAAGTAGACTGTTGACTGTTAATGGCTTGTTTGGTAGACTGATGAAATTACAAATCTGTTGTAGAAAAATGTAAAAATTGAGTTTGAAATACAAAAGAGACTTTACCTCTGTGATATGTATCCTTCCATGTAAACTAGAGCCAAATTTTAGTTTAAGTTCAAGAGTAATGTTTCAGCTGTTAAAGAATCTGGAAGAGACATTTGCGCATCTGAAAGACAAAAGCTGTAAATTGTAGAAAAGAGTATGACCATGTTTAGTTTATGTTGGACCAAACAGAAGCTAGAGGCTCTTCTACGTAAAAAATTATATATCACCTGTTATAATAGCGGTCCAATTGTTGATTAGGATGCTCCAATATCCGTGTGTATATCATTGCAAGATTGGACCACTGTTGTTGATACTCGTATTCGATGTATTTATCCCATAAAGGAAGAGATATATAGGTAATCAGTTCCAGTATAAGCTCGTATTTGATGTATTTCGAGATCAAAATCAAAATGTCGCCATCGTTAGATTAACTACCTAGCACAAGATCTTGTTCGATTAATTTTCTAAAAGAAGAACGCAAAAAACTGGGAGGATATAAGAACCAAGGTCGCCGGCAGGTGGGGCGAGCAGAGGTAGCGAATGTTGCAGTGAGCACTCCCATTTGGCTTCTTCTTGAAAAAAAAGCCCTAGATTTGGACGCCTTTTGTAATTGAGGATAATGGTAGTGACGGTCGATTGTGTAGAGGTGAGTATGAGGTAAGGTGGAATGAGATCTTATGAAAAAAAAAAAGCCCTAGATTTGGACGCCTTTTGTAATTGAGGATAATGGATGTGCGTTTGGTAAAAGAATTATAAAACGACGCCTTTACAATCCAGAAGGTGGAGGATAGAGATGAGAGAAAACCTGGTGGAGAAGGAGAGACGAGAAGGTGGTGGTGTCGATTAGGGGTGGAGACGAGGGAGAAGAAGGCGGGTGTTTAAAAAATTTGGGGATTTCATTTTCCCTCTAAGGAGAAGCGCGTTTCTTAAAAAAATATAAAACGACATTCATACACGACGCACCTTTTAGATAAAGTGCCCTCCGTGGTTTTAATTTTTTTTACATGAGACACTAATTTAAGGGCACGCAATAATGCACGACCTAAATCCTTAATTTTTTTGAAGAGATGACACTTTTTTAACGTCGCTCTCTTTTGCGTAACATAAATCTCCGAGTGTCGTTGTTTACATGCCGGAAAAGGTCTTTTTTTTGTAGTGTTCAAATTTACCCATTCAATGCCTTAAGTTATTTATATGTTCTATGATGGAATAAACTTGTTAATGACCTGCCAATGGACCTCTTGTAACCCGGTTAATAGACCATATAATTTAATGAAATGAAACATAATAATATTTTTTATGAAATGAGGGCCACGTTTAGGGCTGTCAAAAAAATCTGAACCCAATTAACCCGACTCGATCCGAACTCGAATAAGGTACTTGGGTCGGGTTTAATAAGGTCAAATTTCTAAATCAGGTCATTCGGGTTAACTCGGCATACCCGAAATGCATTTTAGGGTCGGGTTTAGGGTTGATTTTTTAAAAAAATCAGGTTGCAGGTTAAACCAATTAACCCGAATAAGGGGCATACTTGATAAATGCCATGTTCACACAGAATAACGGGCATACTTTATTAACCCGAACAAATATTTCATATTTAAGTTTTTACCATGTCAATTTATAAAGTAAGTAACTAACTAATTACAAATTACTAAAATACAAAAAAATGACATATTTCATAAATGTTATGTTCACAGAGAGTTCAAAAGCTTATAAAAATTCTTTATATATAAGTTATAGATAGTTCAAAAGGTAACAAAAATTTTGTATATGTAAGTTAAAGCAAGTTTATGAACCCACATTTTTTAGTTTTTAAATTCATTCTATGTACAAACATTTTATTTTTTAAAACGTTACATTTTAGGTCCTTATATTTGTAAGTTATTTGATAAAATAAACAAATATTATTTTATTTCTATTTAAACTCGATTAACCCGACTAACCCAACCCGGTTAATCCAAAACCCGATCGGGTTGACCCGATTAACAGCCCTAGCCACGCTGATTAGGCATCTTGTTAGAAAACATCATTGACTCCTTTCATGCATTTCATCGAACAATTTATGTGCATAATTCATCATTGATGTGAAGTGACATGCATCATCCTTACTTCAACGTAGAAATACATCATGTGCTCCTTTTATTCGTATTACATTCCAAATATCTAGGGATGTCAAAAAGTCTCGTGGGACCCCGTTCACATGGGGGCCCCGTCCCATTTGAGGGAATTTTTTTAAATCCGGCGGGGGGGGGGGGGGGGGCAAGGCTAACCCCCGTTTTAATTTTGGGGGCGGGGCGGGGCTAGGTAATCCCGTCCCGAAGCCCCCATGGGGACCCCGTTAATAAATTACGCATATATTTGCATATGTTAATTATATAAATATAATAAACAATAACATGATTTTGAGCTGCCAAAAGTCATCAAAAACATGGGGGGAGGGGGGGCAAGGCTAACCCCCGTTTTAATTTTGGGGGCGGGGCGGGGCTAGGTAATCCCGTCCCGAAGCCCCCATGGGGACCCCGTTAATAAATTACGCATATATTTGCATATGTTAATTATATAAATATAATAAACAATAACATGATTTTGAGCTGCCAAAAGTCATCAAAAACATGTTTTAAAGTTGTTAATAATGTGTTTAATATGCCATTACTCTTTTCTTTTTAACATGTAAAATTCTGCTATAAAGGGGATTCGGGGAGAGGGAATGGGGGCGGGGGTGGGGGTAATAAAGGGGATTCATGGGCGGGGCTGATGGGTTTTGAGCATTTTAACACTTCCTAAGTGTACATGCAACCCTAATAAACCTTGGATCTATGTTTTTCAAAGATACATGCAAATAATTATTTTCCAAGGTTCTTATCCTATCTAGCATGGCATGGGGAACTTGAATCAAATAAAGCTAGTAGAATTACTTACCTTGTAGTTGTAGTTGATTGCTTGGAGTTTTAGAGCCTAGCACCAATAGTGTGGATGCCTCAAATGGAAATCACAAATCACCACAAACTTGGAACTTTGAGAAAATAGTCACAACTATCTTGAAATCGCCCTCT